GAGGGGATATAGGACGGGAAAGACTAGAAGTAAAGGCACTCAGTAAAGAAAGAGGTGAAGCTGGACAGTAGTCTAAATATTTTTGCTTGCAATCTTCTTTTAAAATGTTGAAAGATTCCAAATCCTCATTCTTAAATTAGTCAGCTAAATCAGGTTTACTCTTCAGACAGTCTGACTACTGGTGGTGCTATGCATCTTATTTTTGCTTCTAATGCACAGCTATTGTGTAAGGCCTGGTAACCTTGGGACAGGTTTGTTACCTGGATACGTTTAATGAGGACCCACCCATTACTCTCAGGGACTCTCCCTCTCTACCGAGAGAGAACTGTTCTTTTGGGGCCCCAAACGTATTTAACACCTGGAGTGATGCATCTAGTAAGTCTGATTTGGGATGGATTAGAGGACTGCTTTTCTTTTGTGAACAGGGAAAGGCAAGGGAAAAGTGAGAGTCTGAATACTGGGGGTAAGGAGAGCATTTGGAAATTAAGGACCTGGATATAGATTTACTTAAAACCCTCTTTGCCTTCATGTATCCTGAGAATCTCCAGGTTGAAGTTTGAACCAGTTTCATAACCAAGGTGAAAGACCTGAGAGATGGAAATCTCTGGAATAGTGCCTGAGAACAAGAAAGGTTCTGAGGAAAGTGGGGCTTGCTTTGCATGGAGGCCACAGCTGAAGGGAGAGCCGGTTAATTTCTAGTGGTGCTTATTAGCACTTTTCCCTGCTGTCTCTGTCCTCTAGGGAATAGGCATGTTTCCCCCACCCCCACCCCACCTGCTTTGTCTCTCTCTTTTCCTGAGTCTGCTGCATTTGAGATCTTTCAATGGCAACCTGGAACACTTCTTTTAGCAAAGTGATTTTAGCAGTGTCCTCATTAAATGGCATTCCATCGAAGTGGCAGTTCTTGGATCTGACTTGCATAACTTATAGATGAAAAATCCTATAAGTAGTAGAACCCTTGAATGATCATTGTGCACAAATACATACACTCAGGTATTTTAGGGTTCTGAATGAGGCAACTTGTTTATATTTTTTAGAAATTTAAATTAATGCATTAGAAAGATTATCTTTTATCTTCTAAATTCAAAACTGTACATATATTTTGAAATGAATCAAGTATGCATTTACATTAAATCTATCTGTATGTTTTGCCAAATGAACAATGAAGCACTTTATTATTCTGTTTTTACTCTGGGATAAACATTATTATTATTATTTTATTTTGGTACAGAAATTGAACCTAGAGGTACTTAACCAATGAGCCACATCCCCAGCCTTTCTAAAATATTTTATTTAGAGACAGGGTCTCATTGAGTTGCTTAGGGCCTCCCTAAATTGCTGAGGCTGCTTTGAACTTTTGATCCTCCTGCCTTAGCCTCCAGAGCTGCTGGGATTACAGGCGTATGCCACTGTGCCTGACACTGTGGGTTAAACATAATTGAGTGCATTTTTAAAAAAATTATATTTAAGATGTATTACATATAGCATATATTGTTGACATTACCAGTATGCAAAGGTTATTTATAAATCTCATTAATTTCAAGAGCTAATAAAAAGGTACTTGTATGATTTAGGAACTGATTTCAGATAGTAAAATGATCTGTCTCACATTATAAATTCTGCTCTRTTTGTTAAACTGTGTACTTACTTTTTTGGATTTACTACCTGTGGTCTCTATAGGATTAATGAATTAAGGAAATGTAGAATTGATTGGCAAATGCTCTCTGCCCATGAAAATCTGTTCTTTTGTTGTATGGATATATCTTGTTGTCATGCAACATCTTTCCATTACTTTTGTGAAAAATATTTCACCATCATGGGCAATTACTAAGACAGCTCTAAGTTTCTAAATGGTCAGTGAAGATTGATAGGTGATCTTACCCCTCATTAGCAAGGTGAACTGGGTCTTTTAGCTGGACCAGGGCCTAGGCATTCTGACCTGAAGTCCACAGAGCTTCAAATGCTCCTTAAGTGGGCTCCAGAGGAATCATGAACCACATCAAAGTATTATAGTGTGGGCCTGGGTTCTCATATTTCATCAGACAGTCAAAGAATTCTGTGCCCCCAAAAGGTTAAGAATTCCTTTTTGTTCCATTTTGTTGCTGAACAGGATTGGGTTGGATACAATGGTGTTTTCAAAACACTTGGAAATCATAATGCTCATGTTTGTATTGCAGTAATTCTTCCGTCACATACAGTATTCACTTGTAGAACAATTTCTCCTGTACTTCCCTCCAGTATTTTTAGACGTATTACAAATCTAGTGTAATCCTACATCTGTTTCAAATTAGCCTATCTAATTAAAATTACAAACCAGTTTGAGGGCCCAGGGAATCTCAGGTGTAATTATAATCTGATGTTGATTCTGAATTTCTTTTTGGGTAAATATTTGTTGTATTTATCATTTCCTCATGTTTAAATGGTATCAGAACAATTAACAGTTTACAGAGGAAAAAATGTAACTTCTTAGTTAATTGATTTATTTATAGTGCTGGAAGTGGACCCAGAGTCTGGAACATGTGAGGCAAGCAAGGACTGTATTACTGAACTACACCCTCAGACCCTGAAAAATATAATTTAATATTAGCAGTGCACATTTGTAGCCTCCTGTGGCAAATGGAAATTTTGAGTAAATGATATTTAAATTTTTTTGACTTTATGCCTATATAATTTTGTTTACAGCATAAATTATCTTATAATCCTTTATATAAAATGTATATATCCTTTACATATATCCTAGTATACCTTAAATAATCTCTAGATTACTTACAATACCTAGTACCATGTAAACAATTGTATTGTGTTATTTAGGAAATAATGACAACAAAAAATTTTTGTACTTGTTCAGGACAGATGTAGTCCTCTTCCCCCCAAATATTTTCAAACAAGATTTGTTGAATCCATAGATATAGAGGACTTACTGCATTTAACATCTTCATTAARTTTTTTTAAAACCTCTTTATATGTTAACATAAGTTACATTTTTCCAAAATTAAGGAAATYAGTGGCATTGATTGGCATTATTTTAAATTTATGTAAATCTCTTTACTGTCTGGTTTAACAGGAGATTGCTTGATTCTCTATCTGCTTCTCCATTTATTCTGCAGTGTTGTTTTGAAGTCTACAATGATAATTTAGCTGCACACAGAAAAGGAGTTACTCTGATACCTTCTTTAATATTATGACTATACCAAAATTGTGGTTTCCTAAAGGTTAGTTACRTTGCAAAATCTGAAATGAGTATGTTCATCTTTTTTTTTCTTACTTTGATACATTAAAATCCATGAATCTGTCTTGCACTTTCAGTGGATCTTTTACCTGTGCATGGTTTTGTACAATCATGTGTTGGTCATTGGAAACTATTGGTTACTAAATTATGCAGAACTTCTAAACTCACACTCATCACTTTCCACTAAGATCTTGTCAGGAAACCCCTTAAGTATTAGGAAGCTGTCAAATTTACAGTGACAGATGTAAGGTTTTCAAAGCTGCTTGAAAGTTCAAATTTTATCATTGGCAATAAATATTGCCAGTTTATTTTGAAGAAATGGGCTCACTTTGTTCATTTTCAAGAAAATGTTTGCCCAATCCAAGTCAGAATAACTGCAGCTTGTGAATTGTTTTGCCACTCAGTTACAGGAATGCTTTTCTTCTAGACAGCCATTTTACATCAGKGTGCAGCAGAGTGCTTAATGTGTGCTTTCTGTTTTGTTGCAAAGAACATCAAAAAGACCCGTGCTCAAGGGTCAAGATTTATGAAAGTCATAACTCTAACTGCTTGCTTCTTTAAGGACTTTCATAAAGGAAACTTTTTTTTTAACTGCTAATGTGTGGTGAAGAATGCAGTGACTATGAGTTTCGTTTGCTCCCACTGCCTTGATTAGTTGCCAAGGTGCCAGTAGTTTCCCCACAATTGCGTTTGCACCATCAGTACTAATGTCAGCACAGTGAAAAGACAAATATTGTCTTTGTGTCATTCTAAAAATAGTTCTGACCTCGGAGAAGGTCTTGGGGACTCCCAGGAGTCCTCTAAGCATACTTTGAGATGCACTGGGCCATTCTCCCAGCATTGTAGTTTTGGTGCYAGGCGTTAACACGTCTGTCCACGTCTTAGTAACAAAGTGTGAACTACTTTTTTTTTGTGAGATGGACAACATTGTCACGATTCTAGGTCAAATGGGGAGTCCACAGAGTAGGGATTCATTCCATATTCATTTAAGCGTTTCTAGCACCTACAGCGTGCTCGTCCCTAAACGATGGCTGAAGCACCACCTCCTTTCATCTCTGCCCCTTGGAAGGTTATCCSCCCCCCCCCCTTGCTTGTCTTTAAGCAGGGCTTAAATACTTTTCCTGGTCCTCTGAGTAGGACACGATTTCGCTTGTACTTTGAGCGCCTACTTTGTCGTCAGTTCCTTAATCACTTAAGGACCCAAATGAGTTACTGTTTTCTTTGTAATACGCATGTTGGCCACAAAAGGGAAGATGTTTTGTAAATATTCGTCTCAATGTAATGAAATCAAAACTGAAAGCAAAGTAAAACATATGTGCATTAGTTGTCCGTTTCCTGATTGCAAGCTCTGGAGTGATCAAAAGTAGCGAATGTGGTTTACTGCTGCAGTGGTTCCTGCTCTCTGYGGCCTCTTGGGCCGCAATATTCAACAATATCGAAATTATAGCTGGAGTTCTGAGCGGCGAGGACTTGGTGTTCCGACGGTGTGTGCTTGTACGTCGTTAAAACCTGGCAAGCGAGCGCTAGCGAGAAGTCCGCAGGCGGGGCCGGCGGTGGAGAGCTGGGCTGTGTCGGCGCTCGCGCTCCGCGCCCCCGCCCGGCCCGGCCCGACCCGACCCAGCCCGACCCGACCCGACCCAGCCCGACCCGACCCGGCAGCGCCTCGCCTCCCCTAGCCTTCGGCTCGGCCGGCGGAGCGCCCTGCCCATTTAAGGAGGCGGGCCGTACCACCAGAACTTTCTTGACGGGGGTATTCTGCCGAACTCGGACAACTTCGAAGGAGCAAAAAGGCTATTGCCTTTCCCTTCAAACTCTGGCCCGATTCGTGTGGCTGCTCGGTGCGAGCGGTGCGCTGGCGGGCTTTCCGCTGGGGCCCGTTCGCCTCCCTGCCCAGAAGTCGCCCCAGGCGCGCTCTCACTCCGAATCCGGACGCGACGCTCCCCGGGCTCCGCTAAAGTGTAGTTCTCCTGCAGAGGCCCCAGTGCCCGGATGTCCATCAGGATTAGTGCGAACCAATACGCTTCCAGCCCGAGGCTGCGCTGAGGGCGCCCGGGGCTCCGGAGCAGGTAGTCCCCGAACCTCGGGGAGTCGAGCTGGGGAATCATCCCCGCACGGCTCCGGCAAATGGTGAGCGAGGCGCTGGCAGCAGGGCCCGCGGGTTGAAAGGTCTGATGGACAGAAGACAGTGGGCTCTCTAAGCTGAATGATGGCAGCCCACTCAAGGTAAGGCAGGCACCGAGGGAAACTTTTTAAATAGGCTAGTAGCTAGGGAAAATGAAGGTTGCGGGGGTGAGGGGGGAGGGCTGGGGTGCTGGGAAGGAGACGGGCAGGAAGCAGCTTTGTCATTGCTTTCTCATCATTCCTGATGCTGTGGCTCATAACTGAACGTCAGATAAAAACCAGTTTGGAGAACGTACTAGACAGTTTCTGCACAGCGGAGAGGGAGACTGGGTTAAAGTTAAGATTGAAGTTAAAGATCCCTCTTCTTCTAAAAATAACTGTTATTTTTCGGGAAATTAAGTTGATTTCACTTGCCTGTCTTTTGCTCAAATTTTCGTTTATGTTCTTTGTGCACCCACCCTTTGGTTCTCTTGATTGCTTGCTGGTGTGTTAAGAGGCATTTTTAGAGATACAATTAATGTAAATCATATCTTGCCTAGGAGAGGGTGGGAGACAAATTGCCTGGTGATTGAAATTTTTACTGCTAGAACGTATGATTCTACATAAAACGGCACAGCTTGCGTGAATCTGCTGAGTAGGCAAAGACCGGGAATTCACCGGGGTTGGTGAAGGGGAGAGAGGATAATGAACTGCAGTTGCTGTCAGAGGAGGACTATTGTAAGAACCTCAAGCCCTGTCTTTCCATGGTTGGTTACTGGTTTTGTAATGAGCGTTTAAAAAGAGTGATGACAAGGCATCAGTGATTAGTATAAGATTCAAACTGTTGTGTGCCATCCGATTGGTGTGACTTCATTTTAGTTGTGACAGCAGTTGGTGCTAAGGGAAACTGAAGAGTTATATATACATTCTTTAAAACTTTTACTAGAAAGCACCGTGGCCTCAGTTATTTAAACTAGTAGGAAAGCTCTTCAAGTTATTATGTGATGAAAGATAGTGATTTGGGATGTTTCAGAAGGCTCAACAAATTTAGGTCTGAAGTCTCAGATCATAGAGAGAAGTAGATGTTTAAATAATGGAATTTGAGAGGATGTAACTTAAATTTTTTTCCTAAGAAACAACTTTCTAGGAAGGAATGAATGTGTCTAAATAGAGAACCTCTTGTGTGCCACCTGCTTTTTATATTTAATCCTCTGAACTCAGTGGTTTATCCTCAGACTCCATTTTATTGATTGTTCTAAAAAAGGAGTTCTTAACCTGGGCCAATATAGTAGGAAAACTTGGATAAGAAACTGAAGTTGCATCTTTACTTTCCCTAAACTCGAAGTGAAATTTTAGCGTTTCTTTTAGTAGAAATATATGCCGGGTGGGGGAAGGACAGAAGCAAAAACAAAAACAAAACCCTGTCGTACCAGTACTAGGGATATTATCACAAGTAGAAACCTCATTTTTTCACAATCTCATTTCAGTTCTTGCATATTTCTTAATATCTTACATATACCACTTCTAGAAAATTAAGGAGCTGCTTTATATTGTTTAATAATAAAAGCATAGAACCATTAATTTGTCTTTTAAATATTTTGGTTGGTATATTTTTATGTCATTTGTTCCCTTTGTGTTCTTATGTATTTTATTTAGTGCATTTAAAAACTTTATCCTGAGAGTGCTATCACTTATCAAATTACTGTATGGGTCCATGGCACAAAACCTTGCATTAAGATATCTTGATCTATGAAATTAAATCAAAGCTGACAATGCTCACTAATATAGTGCAGGGAATTGAACACAAGTGTGAGTGATTTCAATGCCTGAACCCTTAAACTAAAGATAAAAATGAGATAAAAGGTAAATGGTGTACTGTGTGTGCCAGATACAGCAATGAGCAGCTTTAATTTAATTACCTCTTTGACTCTTCTCACTTAATACTTTTATTATTTATCTTTGGTCCTTAAGGAAACTGAGGCCCTGCCAGGGTATTTCTTGCCTGAGGTCATGCAGGTAGAGCATGGAGCAGACCTCTGGCTCCAGAAGTACTCTGCAGCACTTCCTTGCTTCTATGCTGCCTGTTTGAAGCACAGATGAGATGTTAAAAGAGGAATTGCAAAGCCTCAGTGTGAGAGAAAGCAATTTCTGGTAAAATTGCTTTTCTGCAAGATGTTGTAATTTGAGTTATCAGTAGGTTGGTACAACATGCTAGCAATTGAAATAAAAGGACTGTGCATATTTTTGATGTCCTACCTGACCTTCAGATATGTCCTTGAACTTTAAACAAAGCAACAAGGCCCTCCCTTATATCTGCATGTTAGGGAATATGTCTCATATGTTGCGAATAATCTTTTTCTTCAGTTACACTTAGAATGTGGTCCAACTTTATTTTCAGACATTGTGCTTTGTGGGAGAGTAGATAATCTTTGAGGTCCAAATAGAGAATATATGGAAAAAATTTAAGATATTTTTGGATTTCAGAGAACCCCAAAGCTGGGCCAAGTTTCCCTGAGTATTGCTAAGAGAAACTGAAACATTACTTGTGATGTATAATCCGCCAGTAAAAACTTGACCATGTGTCACATTAGTATTCTTGAGACAATTAATTTGGATTTCAGAATCTTTGGACTTAAAGATTCATAGCTCAATGTTTAACCACAGTAGTTTCATTGTGCGTTGAAATAATTTGTAGCTGGGAACTTAGATGAGAAATTTGCAGCAATTATAAAGGAGCCAACCTATGGCATTTTTCTCTAATTAATTGACATTGCTATAAGGTAGTGTCATTCTGGATTTGATATTGATGGGTGGTATATGGCTAATTTTTTCTGTGAATGGGCCGTGCACTGTAGCCAGCTCCTTAGGCACAATGTCTCTTCCTTATAGGGTCCCCTACGTAAGCTATAAGTACTTTGAAAGAGGGAGGAGCTACCTAAGTAGTGTTTCTTGGTTTATGGACTTTTTGAAATTGAGGTTTTATATTCCTCTACCTTATTCCAAAACTTTAAAGTAGGAAATTATTTTTATTTTGCTTTTCTGGTTGATTTATTTTCTTTAAAAAAAATTTGTTGAGTAAAATATAAATTGCCTAACTTTTAAAACTCAGAGTCTTTAGATCAGTAGCTCGAAAACAATTAAAATTTGGCATATGAGTTATCAGAATTGGAGAAATGCGTTTGGCCCCAGGACATATGCCTTACCTCATGCACTTTCAACACAGCAGACACATGGAATACCCTTCCTTGAGGGAATTGTAATAAACTTGCTTTCTTTAATGTGAAATGGTTACAAGATCATAGTTTTATTTTCCAGATTTCTAATCTAAAGTATGTGGAGACTGTTCTTTGTAGAAGTATTAAAAATTAGCATTCCCTCAAAGAGAATTAATAAAATCTAACAGTTTATGGGTCTTTTTCTATATGGATTAGCTTGCTTTATACTGAAGAGTGATGTTGATGGATCGAATAAAAAGGAGGGCTTTGTCTGAATCTCCATCTCCCCTAACTCTCATTGAAGCAATCCCCGAATTCTAGGAAGGAATATATACAGACCTTCAACTACCGGCAGGGATTAAGCAGTTTTAAAAAGCACTGTGTGCTACCTGAGAAGTGGGGCCCACCCCCACCCTGGGGGGAAGGGTTCTGGGGGGGCGGAGTGGGGGTGTTGAACTTGCTTTTTTGGGAGAGTTGCATCTGGTGGCTTAGCACACATGTTCTCAAAAGAAAGCTCTTACAAACTGCGAAAGGAAATTAGGTTTAGTGAGCTCTCCAGTTTTTTTTTTTTTTTAATTTGACCCAAGTTCATGTTAATGAAGCTTAGAAGAAAAGAAAACCAATAAAGAGGTAAAGTCAGATTGTTCCCAAGATTAATATGAAGCCGGTTTTTGGTGGCTCTCTTTGACTCTGGTAAGGGCAACTTTCCTGTTGCAAAAAGGACTGCTCTTAAACTGGTATAGAACCAGTTTTGCCCCACCCTGTGCCCCCACCTCTGACTTATGAGCTACTGATTATTGTGAAAGAAACTTCATGAACATAAAGCAGTTAATTAAATATGAGCCAAGAGCAAAGAAGGATACTGTAGTTGGGAAAGTGTGGTTCAAGGAAGAGAAATAGCATGCGTACTATTTTGACCTCATGACTGTCCCCATTTTTCCCTATGACACCATTGTAAACAGTGTCCTTGACAGAAGAGAAACACAAACAAGTCTTTTAAGTGATTTCTTTCTGGTTCATCCTGAGAGCACAGCTGAGTTTCCTGACTCACAATCTAGGCTTCTTCCATGATAAAGACTGAAGGAGCAATGAGTAATTTTTTCTTAAAGTCAGCTGATTTGTGGGAGTGTTTGGCAAAATTAATGCAAAAGATTTAGGGAATTCTATACCATGTCATGAGATGGCATTCTGTAGCTGGATCTAAACTCTTTTGAAAATGAGGTTTAATGAATACTGCTTAAAAAGATTTTGAACTTCAAGTTTATTCAGGAACAAAAATATGATCTTGTTGGTAGATAGGAGTACATTTCTTTATTATCCTGGTCTCCTGTCATTTACTTGTTTTGAGCATCCAAATTTATGCATTGCTGGCTAGCAATAAAATAGAGGAAACATAAAACTGATTAGTTTCACCACTGTTTTGTGGTATGAAGGACAATTTGACTGTTTCTAAATGTATAAACTTAGTTTTATCTTGGCAAACTTCTCTTTTATTTTTTTTCCAAAATTGTCAAATAAACTTAGACTAATTTTATATGTGACTTATAGTGGAAATACACTCTATCTCTAGGAAAAAGTTTCTTAGATATGTCTCTTGACTCAGAAATACAAACATAGTGAGTTGAGTGTCATTTCTATGTTTTAATTTAGTTACATCTTATTGATATATGGTGAGTACATAACTTTTACAGGTTAAAACAATTACTTAAAAAAAGTATTTCGAAATCTGAAGTGGTAGTCATTTAGTTGTGCTTCAGATTGTATTTATTTTATTATGAACATGTGTACTCATTTGCTTAAAGTAATAGAGCAGGTAGAATGCAGAGTGTCTGGCTCAAATATAAATGTATCAAGTGGATAAAGTTTAGATTTATACTCAGGAGAAAAATAAGATTTATTACTTTGGGG